TTGGGCCTGGCTTACTTCACTTAATATAATTTTTTCCAAGTCTTTCCATTTCCTAACAAATGGGGCAATGTCATTCTTTCTGATGGAGGCACAGAATTCCATTGTGTATATATACCACATTTTCTTGATCCATTCATCTACTGAGGGGCATTGGGTTGGTTCCATATCTTAGCTATGGTAAATAATGCTGCAATAAACATGGTTGTGCTGGTAGCTTTAGGATGATCTTGTTTGTGATCATTTGGGTAAATGCCCAAAGTAGGATTGCTGGGTCATAGGAGAGCTCTATGTGGAGTCTAGATTTTATAATCATGAATTCACAGCAATGGTTCTGGCACAAGTCAGTATCACAGAACTCTTTCTACTTTTCCCCATTATTATTTCCTTCTCTGTAGCATAATTCTATTAATTTGATCAGTTTCCTTATACAGAATTAATCTCCCACAAAAGTCTCACAGTCGTCTTCCTCACCACTGAAGCTCCATCTCCTGTGCTGGTTGGCCCCTCTTGCTTGCTTTTCAAAGCACTCATGCCTGTGTGGGGACCACATAGTGGATGTCTAGCTGCTCCTACACAGGAATGAATGCTGGTCCTCTTGCTTAGCTCTGAGTTCCTGTGCAAATCATCCTTTGGCAGAAGCATCTTCATCACTGGGCTCAGGGTCTATCATGCCACCCTGAGCTGCCCTCCTCCTGGATGCCTTCCTCACCAGCATCTGGATGCCTCTGGCTTCACCCTTCAGGTAAGAAACCTCCCAGCTCCTGCTTCCCTAGTGTCTTATAGAAACTATTCAGGCAGGGAAAGATGGGAAGGAAAAGGAGGGTCAGGAAGACAAAGAGCCAGTTGAACTAACAAATGCTTCACACTGCAAATGCCTTAAAGATACAAACAGCTAGTGCCACTGGATACCTATGGCTCATGACTGTAATCCTCACTACTCAGGAGACTGAGATCTGAGGATCATAGTTTGAAACCGCCCCAGGCAGAACAGTCCTTGAGACTCTTATTTCCGATTAGTCACCAAAAAGCCAGAAGTGCAGCAGTGATTCAAATGATTGAGCACTAGCCTTGAGCTAAAAAGCTCAGAGACAGCACCTAAGACTTGAGTTCAAGTCCCAGAACAGGCATGCGTGCACGCATGCACGCACGCACACGCGCACGTGCGCGCGCGCACACACACACACACACAATCCTTAGTGTCTTCTACTGAGACGGAGACTAACAGTGTCACTAATGTAGGCACTCAATAACATTCTTTCCAACAACTATTTATTACTAGGCAGTTTCTGTTGGAAACTGGTGTAGAGAGAACAACAATAATCACAGAAGCAAACAAGCCATGTTCACTGGACAGTAAGGTGTTGATTTAGAATCTCAGACATTTTCAACTATTCCAATTTGTTCCAATAGTGCAAAAAATAATGCTGAAAGAATCCCATTTGTGTACTAACAAGCCATGTTCACCGGACAGTAAGGTGTTGATTTAGAATCTCAGACATTTTCAACTATTCCAATTTGTTTCAATAGTGCAAAAAATGATGCTGAAATTTGTGTACTATTTCTCCTATTTAATTCTCCTATTTCTCTTATTTAATTGAAAAAGCCTTAGATGAGTCAAGGAGAATTCTTGCGCCTAAATTTAGGCTAGGATTCTGTCAGCATGTCCTTCAGATCAAAGGGAACATTTAGCTTCAAAAGTTGCAAATATTCCTAGCCATGCCAAGTTATTTCAAAGATAAGCAACCACTATGTTTAAAAAAAAAAAAAAAAACAGACTTAGGAGTCAGACTGACCAATGCTTAGTTTCCTGCTCTACTGTGAAATAACATACAGCTACTTGGGCAGCTCTTTTTTTTTTGGCGGTTGTGGGGCTTGAACTCTGGGCCTGGGTGCTGTCCCTCAGCTCTTCAGCTCAAGGCGAGCGCTCTACCACTTGAGCTACAGCGCCACTTCCGGTTTTCTGGTGGTTTATTGGAGATAGGAGTCTCACGGTCTCTCCTGCCCGGGCTGGCTTTGAACTGCGATCCTCAGATCTCAGCCTCCTGAGTAGCTAGGATTACAGGCGTGAGCCACCGGCGCCCGGCTTACTTGGGCAGTTCTTTAACCTGGCCCCTAATTTTCTCATTTGAAAGCCAAGGATAACAAAATTGCTTTCATCAGGCTATAAGTTACACAATGCAGGTCCTGACACACTGTTGTTCTACAGCAAACACAATAACATATACCCATTTTTATTATTGATTTTTGGCCCCAAAGTTTTAGTTTAACATAATACTTATCTCCAAAGAGTTCAAAGCATCTACATAAAACCCATACAGGAGTAGGGTAACGATGGGGGAGGATTCTGGTTCAGGGCCCTCTAGCCAAACTAGTGAGACTCTATCTCAAAAAACCAATGCAGATAATATTACACACTTGTAATCCCAGCTTTATAGGAGATAGTCATAGGAGGTTCACAATCCTAGGTCCTCTACTTCAAAAACAAACTAAAGTAAAAGGGGTGAAGGGTATAGTTCAAGGGGCAGAGCCCTTGCCCACTAAGCTTGCAACCTTAGTACCACCAATAAATGCAGCAAAATTTCCATTACCTTGTAGCAAACAACAAACTGAACCTCATACAACTCAAAACAGACTCTAGAAAACAAGTTGTAATTTCCTGTCCATTTATAATTCTAGCCTGAAATTAGACGCTAACTTCATACCTTTCACATGTCATATTTTATAACTTGAACCCAAGTAATGCTAAGAGGACATGACTTAAACCATGCATAAACTTTACACTCTCCCATGCATGACATGTATTTACACCTACATTTATTCCATGGGTTTTTTTGTGGGTTGTTGTGGGGTTTTTTGCCTTTCGAAGAAGCCACCTGTGGATTATTACACCTAATGCCAAAAGAATAAGTACCTAACAGTGCATTATCTAAGCCAAGTCATTTTAAGGAAGTGATTTTCAACCTACTTTGACTCACATGGTAAGTTTTGAAAATTAGTAATGTACAGCCAGGCACTGGAAACTCATGTAGGAGGCTGACTGGAAGGATTGTGGTTTGAGGCCAGTCCACACAGAAAAATTTATGAAACTAGTTCTCAACAGGGATGATATAGTATGCACCCATTATACCAGCTACAACTTGCAGAGTAACATAGAAAGATCTCGCCCAGGTGCATTCTGGAACACAAAGCAAGGCCCTCACAATCAGAGCTGGAGGCGTGGCTGAGAGGTAGGAGGGTAAGCATGCTTTTTATAACTTATGTATGCTAATAAACTTCTTCAAAAGAAATCCAACAAAAAGAAAAGAAAACGTACTTAATGTCCTGGCATCCATGGATCCCAGGCGAACAAATCAATCTTTTTGACGACAGGATTCAAGTATCCCTATCTTTAAAGCTCTCTCACAATTCTGGTAAGAATTCTCTCCATGTAGAAAACCAAACTTCTATGACTAAGCCAGAATGTACTGACTCTGAAAACAACAGTTCAGGGCTGGAGCTGGAGTCATGGAGCACTTGCCTCTCATGCCAAAGGGATGGAGGGAGGGAGCAAGTAAATAAGTAATATTGAGAAGTGAATCATGTATGAGAGAGCCAGTGATAGAAATACAGGAATACCCAGAAAGTAGAAAATGATTTATGAAGAGTATGATGGACAGGAGATGTGGAATAGAAAGATGGGGAGATCCAAGCGATCCAGAAGGTTTTGTCCAAGTTACTTCACAATGACTCCTTTTAAATGGTATGTATAAAACATGAAGTACTGTTTCTTATCTTTTTTTCCATACGGTATGTTCACTCTACAAGTTAAACGCTCATGAAAAGAGCGTCCCATAAAAGGTTGAAAACCAAGCCAAATGGTAGTTGCTGACACTTGTAATCCTGGCTATTCAGGAGGCTGCAATATGAGGATCATGGTTCCAAGCCAGCCAGGACTGGAAAGTCTGTGAGACTCTATGCTCAATTAACCACCAGAAAACCAGAAGTGGCACTGTGGCTCAAAGTGGCAGAGCACTAGCCTTGAACAAAAAAGCTCAGGCCCGAAGTTCAAGCCCCGGGACCAATCTCCCCCCCCCCAAAAAAAAGACTAATAACTTTAGTTCCTGGTGGCTAGTCTCTACCAGTTTGAGAGAGAGGTATCCCATTATCCTTCCTAGATGCTAACACTTAAGAGATTTGTGTATACAGGAAAGCAGGTCAAACGGATTAGCTCTGACACAAAAAGCTGCCAAATATGTCAGGCAAAAATGCCAAAAATGGCAAAAAGGAAGGGAGGAAGGAAGGAAGGAAGGAAGGAAGGAAGGAAGGAAGGAAGGAAGGAAGGGACTGAAACAGGGCTTGATACTCTTCGTACTTAAATCCCTCTGTCAAAGTTTTATAAGCAAGCAACAAAACAAACAAAAAACAACTTTATTTTCAAAGATCAAGGTGTGTCCAAATAAGACATAGATACACAAGTCATCAGTTGGTCAAGCTTTGCTTAGTTGATTGGTTGGGTCTGGTGCTTTTTCCACTCACCTCTTTAAAAGAAAAAAAAAAAATCCTCAAAGCCAGGCACTGGCCAGGAGGAAGCAAGGTGATATTTGAGCCTTATGGTCCACTCCAGCCAAGGGAGTTGGCCCTGGGGAATGTGACTTCGACGCCTGCCACATTAGCAAAGTCCCGGAGGCCACCTCAAAGCTCTAACAACCCTCAAAAAACCTGACCCTGTCCTACAACCAGCGCCCCCACCTTGCCCGGCCCTGGTCACCCGCCCCCCCTCCTCGGAGCAGCGCAGTCCACGGATCCCCAGATCCCCTCCACGGGTAACCTACGCCCAGCCAATAAGAGGCCTCGGCCGCGGCTCCCTGTCCGCCAGCATCCCGGCGCCAGGCGCCACCACCCGGGTCCGGGCGCCTGCGATCCCCCGCCCCCCCCCCGCACGCGCGGGGATCGACCGGGCAGCGCGCGCCCCTTCGAGGCAGCCAGAACGCTCCCCAGCCCGGATCCGGCACACCACACACCTGCGGGGTCCCCCCAGCTGGGGCGCGTCGCAGCCTGGAGGAAGAGGAGGAGGAGGAGGAGGCGCCCGGCGGGCGGCGCACGGGTCGTTCCGGGACCCCAGAGGCCGGTGAACGCGTGCATGGCGCCTGCAAGGTCGCCTGTCGTCCCGGTGGAGGTGGCGGCTCCCCGGCTCGTCCCCCGTCGGCGTCAGGAGTCCCCGGGCGCAGTGACTGGTAACCCGGAGCCCAGGGCTGATCCCGGGGACCAAGCTTTAAAGGGAAGGAGAAATGGGAGGGGCCGGGCCGCGCTGACCTCCTCCCCGACGACGCGCTCCACGCACCCCTGGCCGGCCCTGCATTGCGCCCGTCCCCCCCCCCGCCCCCCATCAATTATGCAGCCCGCAGCCGGCTGCAGGCGCGCCGGATGTGCGGTGCCACCTCCGCGCCGCATCCTCTCCAGCCTCCGCCCTCCCAGCGTGCCCTGGCTGGGGAGGGAGCGACGCCGGCCAGGTGATGTCTAGCCCGTCTCCTGGGAGATGGGGAGACTGCTCCGCGCAGACTGCTGGCTGCATCCTTTAGGCCAGGCTTCCCTTAACTCGCGTTGGCGGGACAGGTGAGAGGAAGAGGACTCTTCTCCCCGGGCGGTTTTTTTTTTTGTTTTGTTTTGTTTGGACTTCTGTATGAAATTGCATTCTTTTTGTGCGACTGGAAGACGCGATCCGGCTGCCCTGCATCTTTACACCCAACCTCTCTTAGCTCTGCCAACTAATCAGCATGGCCTCTTCTCTAGTCTCTGAAGGTTTAATTGGTTCTCTCCAGATGAAGGCTTCTGGGTCCCAAGGCCCCAAAGTGTATCTGTTTTTATTTCCCTTTTGTAAGAGTGTTCCAGCAGCCAACAAGAACTCAAGAAAGCAAAAACAAAACCTGCCTAAAGGAAACACTGTATAAACTTCACAACGATCCCACTAAAATATAATGCAACCATTACAAACCATTGCTTTATTGGAGAAGGACTCTAAGATTATTATGTAACTGAGGGGTAAGATTTCATGATGCTTAGGATGTTTCAACACATTGAAAGTGTTTTGTTTTGAGACAGCCTTTGGGTATCTAGTTCAGGCTGCCCTCAGACCCCCAAGCTCGGGCAGTCGACTTGCCTTAGCACCCAAATCACCCTGACTAGACACCATATTTTAGTGTGATTTTTATTTTGAAGTACTTCTCCTCCCTTTACTCTTTAAAGGTCAGCCTTGATATTTATAATTTAAAAACAGATCAGTGGAAGAGGAGAGAGGAGGGGAAGAAAGAGGAGAGGAGATTTTGCAGAATAAACTTTTCTTTTTTTAAATTAGTATGTACACTTAAAATATTCTTGTTTCCTCATAGCTCCCATGGTTTCCCTTATTTGCAATATCTAGTATATGTCTGAGTCAAGCAGAAAAGGTCAGATAAGGCGATGTTAGGGACATGAACCCTAAGATATGTATTCAAATGTTTTTTTTTCTTTCTTGCGATTGTTTCTAACACATTTATAAGATTATAACTTTGTTGCTTTGTATGTCCCTCCCTGCTTTCACTGTATTTGATGTTGGTATAATTTGTGGAGGGGAAGGGCAAAAACAAACCGTTTAAATAGGGATACAGGTGGACCCATTACAACAATGATGTACAAGTCTTATCAAAAAACGAACTTTACAACTTTGGGGGGGGGAGATTGGGTAGGAGGGCGGAGGGAGGATGAGAAGGGATGGGAAGGGGAAACAAAGGAGGAGGCAACAATGCTTGATAAGAAATGTACTCGTTATCTTGCTCATGTAATTGTAACCCCTCTGTACAGTATTTTCACAAGAAAAAAGAAAAAATATTCTTTTTTCCAGATAAATAATATATGGGCAAAAGTTTGGGTGAAAATATAGATTATATAAATTTGTATTTAAAATATATGTGAGACAGAATTTATCCAGCAACAGTAAGTATAGACCACATGCCAGGCACTGTATTCAAAATAGGCTGCAGAAACAGTAAGGATGATAATGAACCTAGAGATCTGCTTGTGAATAGCTCAAAAAACACTCACTTACAGTGATTTAAGCATTCTGAACGGAACCTTTGGCGGCTCCCATTAAAAGCAGCAGCCCAGAGAACACACAGTCACATTCAGTGCAAGTTTTATTATCAGCAGAGGGCTTACAGGCTAGCTCTCTCAGGATAGAGAGTAGCAGCCTCTCCTTGGGCAAGGGAGTGATTTATATTATCTGAGATGAAGGCAGGCTGGGAGCAGGAAACAGAATATCCTATATCTGTTACATAGCCAGGGCAGGACATCTTGCATGGTCATGGAGAAATAGCGTGGAGCAGGACATGCTGACTGCTGATGCACCTGGAGCTAGGAGTAAGTCCAGTTTGGGTGGGAGTGGGCAACTGTGGCTGGGCTTGGCCTGTGGATGACCTGGGATGGAGGTTATCAAACCAAAATAGGGGTGAGCATGCTAGCACCCATGACCTGTCCCTATCTTGCTGTCCTGCATCCTCTGTGTGCCAACTGCAATCATTTCCTATACCTTGGGAGAATGTTACCATAAGCATTGCTCAGAACAAACAACTCTAAGCTTTTCTAACTAGCCTGATAAAATCATTAATCTGAAGTGCACCCTTTTAAATGAGTTGACCTGGCTTAAAGAAAAATTATCATTCCAGTTGAATCAGCCTGTTTATGAAGAGGAAAAGGTGACTTATCCAATTTGAGACTCATTCTTGCTGTTCTTCCCGTTCTTGGAGAAAAGCAGTTGAGGAAGAAAGATCATTTCTTTGGGGTTTGAACTCAAGGTCTCAGGCCTGCCAGGCAGGCAGTTGTTTTATCTTTGTGCCACATCCTCTGTCCTACAAGTCTTGTTTGGCTAAGTTTTTGAAATGTCTTTTCACTATTAATACAGTCATAATTATTTGATATATTTTAGCTCTATCTCTATTCCACTTTCTAAAATGTTTCCTATTGAATTAAAACTAGCATTTTCCCCATACAGCTTTTTTTTTTCTGACTTTACTATTTCAATTTGTCTTCTCTCTGCTTGGTGGACTAAGAGGGAAAGAGCGTCCAAAATCTCGTTTTTGGCTGGTTGACTCATGTAAGAGACAACTTGAAAGATGCTTTTGTTGGGTCTGGGATTAAAAGCTTGGCACCCAGTCCAAGCACACACATACACACACTTTGAATCTCTGACTTTTGATCTCTGCCATCCTGTGGTTGCATTGCAATCACCTTAGGCTGCAAGAAAAAAACATATCACAGATAAACATCTTGTGACAAAAGGTAAACTGCCCCTTAGATCAGCAATGCTGACTTTTTATTTTATGAATAAAAGACAAAACTGCCCACAAAGAAGAAAACAACCAAAAGCTACAGACTACCTACCTACCTTCCGGACATCAGAGGCCAAGACTGAGATAATGGTCAGCCAGGCTACTCCTGTGACATGGGACTCTCCTCAGTTGTCTGTTTACCCTGATGCCAGTATTGGTACCACTGACACATCTTCAGGTGTTTCAAAATGCTGTCTTCCGGTGGCTGCCATGGAATAATTGTCTTTTGTACTTTATGTTTTTTGCTTTTCTTTTGTTCTTGTTTTTGTTTTTAATTTGGCATATAGGCTTGAGTTGGGTGGTCCTAACCTAGGACTCCTGCAGTTGGGGCCTGGGATCTAAAAAATGGATTTCACTGGCCCTACTGAATGAACAATAGTAACAATGTGTTGTTTTTGCCTACACATTAAAGTAACAGTGTGTGAGCTTCCTGAGCCAGACCACAAGAGCTTCCCCTTCCTGTCCCTTGAAGCCTCCCTCTTTGAGCACAGCTGCCAGGTAAATAGCACAGTGACCCTGAGACTCCCTTGCTGTGAGAAGCCCAAATTACAAGGAGGCCTCTGTTCAAATAACATTAGATCAAATTCAAAAGGAAATCTAAGAGTTTATTGTGCATACAAAAGAACAGTTTGTGAACTCAGCAGACTTCAGCCCCTTTGGCTCTCAGGAGATACAGTGCAGTCTATAAAGCACACATGAGGAAGTGCATTGGTCTTTATTGTGATTGGCTATTAAAAACATGCCTTCCTTTTATGGTGAGCAGAGATAAATAAGCTTTCTTGTCCATGATTGATCTGTTCAATCTTACACTTGTCCTGACTAGAAAGAAAAGCTGTTCCTGCAACAGGGCTACAGTTAGTAGGAGTAGAAGTAGACCCAGATTTTGACAATATGTTAATATCTTATTCTTCCTTTAGATCTCTCTTGCAATTTAACTGAGACAGTGACCATCCTTTAAGCCTCTTTCTGATTACGTGATTCTGTTATCATAGATATCAAAAAGTCTGAAATTAAAAAAAATTCAACAAGGTCTTACAAATATTCAAATCTATGGCTATTTTTTTGTTGTTTAATTCTGAGCAGGTCATTTGGTGTCTCAAAGATTGCAGACAAACAATGCTCCTCAGAGACCACATTGCCCAACAAATGTCATCAGTAAGACAGATAGATAATATCAAGAGTTTGAAGAACATACTAGACCAAATATCCCAAAGCCAAGATGTAATCAACACCTTCCTGATCAGAAAAGTATCTGTATCTGTTTTCTTAAATCTCTATGGTAGGAGGCATGCATGTTTTCCTCCATATTTTTCAATTAACACTCCTGTAGTCTGTTTCATCGATGGAAAAATAATGTAAAGGATTGAAAATAATTGGAGAGTCCTAACAGGAGGATTTTGCAATGCACACTTGCATCATTCTCAGGGTTTACTTCCCAAAGAGGAGGTTTCTCAACATTGTTTTTAGTCAGCTCATACAGTCGAGAAAAGTTGGAGACTAGGACCAGCAAGTCCAAATTCTTTGGACTTTTAAGATAAAAGCTTCTGAGTTGTCACAGGTCTAGGGTAAATTGGAATGGCATTAAATTTTACTTAAAGCAGTCATGCTCCTTTTGTAGATAATCTAAATAATGTTCGACTTCTAGTAAGAATTATAGTAAGAGGAAATGGTGCTGTGGCTCAAGCGGTAGAGCGCTCCCCTGGAGCTGAAGAGCGCAGGGACAGTGCCAAAGCCCAGAGTTCAAGCCCCAGGACTGACAAAAAAAAAAAAGAAAAGAAAAGAAAAAATTATACTAAATTATACTAAGATATCACTAAGTCTTAGGGTTCCCATAAACCAGTTGTTGTAACAATACATTGCAATACCTGAAGCTTTGAGAGACGAAGAACAAAGAAATAAATCATCTACAGGTTGAATTCAAGGAAGATTTATAGTACTGAGATTGTGGAGTTAAAATTATAAAAACTACAAGGGATCATCAGTTGCTTCCTAAGGCATCACTATCCAA